TTAAGATTTAAATAATCTTAAAAAAAAAAAAAAAGATTCTCTCCCTTTCCTCTGCCCCATCTCCTCTCTCAAATAAATAAATAGATAGATAGATAGATAATGAATAAGTAAAGTAAATCTGCAGTTCAGAACTCTCGAGTGCCCAATGTCATAGATCGGATTTCTGAACATGTCCTCCTGACACTGAACAGAAAACTTCAAAAACTGAATCCAAAACTGAACTCCTCAATTTACCACCAACTCTTTTCTCCCCTTGACAATTAGTCAAATAAAAATATAATAAACCACTAATGTTTACTTACAGTATTTTTTAAACACACCTCAGTTAGGGTCAAAAGTAGAGATTTAAAATGTAATTTAAGTTAATAAGAATTCTCAAAAAGTATCTGTACTACACTCAAAATCAGAACAATTTACAGCATGATTGTTTTCCTTTTTTTAAACATAAACTTTGGGAAGTATAACTTCTGTGCAAGTGGCCTCCTTTCCCAGAATGTAATGGAATAACAAGGCACCTAGTTATTCTCCTCTCTTTGATGACCTGAGATCTAGGAGAGAATAAGTGTGAAAAATTGGTATTCACGCACTGGATGGTAGAGCGCACAGGACAGAGAGAAGGGAAACAAACCTGTGAATGTGCAGCTTACCACCTAGAGTTGAAGTGCAAGTGGGGAAAGCTCAAATAGGTCAGAAAATGGCACACAAGGTAGCTATAATTTGAGGGACACAGCACCAGGGTGAAGAAAGGTACACCCAGAGACAGCTTCAGAGAGCTGCAGAGAGGTCCTTTGAATTCTTGGCTGAGTACCATTGTACGCATGCACAAAAGGAAATTACCCAGAGTCAGGAAAGAATCATACAGAGGACCGACATAGTGTATGGGCCAACCAAACAGAAATGGAAAGGCATTATAATAATTGGGGTACCAGATCAAGTTCTCAGAAGGGTGGGGTGCCTGGGTGGCTCAGTGGGTTAAAGCCTCTGCCTTCAGCTCATGTCATGATCCCAGGGTCCTGGGATTGAGCCCCATGTTGGGCTCTCTGCTCAGCAGGGAGCTTGCTTCCTCCTCTCTCTCTGCCTGCTTCTCTGCCTACTTGTGATCTCTGTCAAATAAATAAGTAAAATAAAAAAAAAAAGTTCTCAGAAGGGTATCACCACAGCAGTGGGGCTGAACTAGCCCTACACATAAAGCTACTCTGGACATGTTTTAACAAAGCTTAAAAGCAAACACTGAAAGGATTCAGTTGTTCCAAATAACTGCATGCAAGAAAAAATCCAACACTACAGCAAGAAATGTAACAAAACTCAGCACCTAACAACGTAAAATCACAGTCTGGCATCCAATATCATATTAACAGAATAGTAGAAACCATAATCAGGGGGCAATTAATCAATAGAGACAGACCCTTACATGACAGAGATCATGAAACCAGCAGACAATAATATTAAACATGTTCCATATTGTCAAGAAGACAGCAAACCCATAAACAGGATGATAAGAAAAAATACAAGATATAAGAATAAGACTCAAATGGAATTTCTAGAAATAAAATCATATACCTAATTTTTAAAAAATAGATTATATCCTAAAGAAGAATTAATGTGAAGATATAACAATTACAATTGCCTAAAATTTGGGACACCTGGGTGGTTCCGTCCATTGAGCAGCAGACTTTTAATTTAGGCTCAGGTCACAATTTCAGGGTCCTGGGATCAAGCCCCACATTGGGTTCTGCACTCAGTGGGGAGTCTGCTTGAGATTCTCTTTCTCCCTCTTCCTTCACCCTCTTCCTCTGCTCACAAACTCTCTCTTTCTTAACTAAATAAAGCTTTTTTTAAAAATGCCCAAAATGAAGAGGAAAAATAAATGACCAGAGCATCAAGAGAGAACAAAGAAAATAACCTTTAAAATGAAAGATATTGCCGGAATGTTTCAAACTAACAAAGCAGTGTGAAATTCATTTCCAGCAGATCTGCACTGTAAGATATGTTAAAAAGATATTCTTGAGGCAGAAGGAAAATGTTACTAGATAGAGATTCAGACCTAAATTTTAAAAAATGAGCCCCAGAAATCATAAATATATAAGACCGTTTTTTCCTGTTTGTTAATGTCTTATAAACAATTAACTTTATAAAATTTTTAAAAAAGCATTAAATAGTGTTATTTAGAGCATAGGTAAAGTAAAATGTATGACCATTCTAGCCCAAAGTAGAGGAAGGGGAAATTGAAGTATGCTGCTCTAAGTTTCTTACAGAGCACATAAAATGGCATAATAATAATCTGAAGGTGAACTGTAGTAAGTTAGACAAGAATGCATCAAGAAGAAATATCAGCGCCCCCCCCAAAAATGCATGCATATAACAACAGAGCTTTGAAATATATGAAGCAAAAACAGAATTGAAAGTAGGAACATAAGAATCCACAAGTGCAGTTGAGAGTTTCAAAACTCTGCTCTCAGCGTGATAGAACACATAGATAGAAAATCACCAGGGAATAAGAATTTAAAAAAAGAAAGAAAGTCACCAAGCCTATGAAAGACTTGAACAACACTCTCAACCCACTTGACCTCAGTGAAATTTATTGGACACTCCACCCCAACAGCAGAACGCAAGTTCTGCAACAAGATTGATCATATCCTGGGCTACATATCAAGTCTTAATAAATTTAATCAAACATATGTTATCTGACCACAGGAATTTAAACTAGAGACAAATGTCAAGAAGATATTGAAGAATCTCCAAATATGTAGAAATTAAATAACCCACTTCTAAATAATCCATGAATGAATGAAGAGATTCAAAGTCAAATTAGAAACTATGTTGAACTGAATGAAAATAAAGACACAACACATCAAAATTTGAATACAGATAAAGCAGTTCTTAGAGGAAATTTATAGCACTAAATACACTATAAAATAGGGGTCTCAAAATGATGTAAGGTTCTATTTAAGAAGCTAGAAGAACAAATTAAATTACATGCCATTAAATGCACTCATTTTAAATGTACAGCTCAGTAATTTATAATAAAGGTATATAATCCATGTATAGACCACCATAATCACCCCCAAAGTATCCTTGAAGTTAGATTATCACTACTACCAGCATCACTAATACCATCTGCTCTCAGTCATTATAGATGACATTTCCCTATTGTGGAATTTCATAAAGTGCATTAATATGGTATGTACCTCTTGTATTTCTGGTTTCTTTTTTTTTTTTTAGCAAGTTTTTGAGATTCAACCTTGCTGTTGTGTTCCAGTGATTTGTTCCCTTTTACTGCTGAGTGATTTCCCATTATGGGACTATATCACATGTGTTTATCTATTCGCCTATTGATGTGTATTTTGATTGTTAGACTGCAGATTTTGATTACTACAGCTAAAACTGCTAAGAACATTTGGGAACAAATGAGTCTGGGACTTCATCTGAAACTATACATTTGCTTGGCTTCCCCTCCTTCCTTATCCTGGTTCTTCTGTTCCTTTACTGGTATCTTCAGGGATACTTTATTAATTAATCATTTGTGCCAGCATCCTTGGCACAGAAGCTACTTTTTTTTTTAATTTCTTTTCAGCGTAACAGTATTCATTGTTTTTGCACCACACCCAGTGCAGAATCTACTTCTGAAAGAACCTAAGCTAAGACATCACCTGAGGCAAATGTATTTCCGTATGATGCTTGTCTTAAGAACCTCCCTGCCACTCCTCATCGCCTCCAGACTGATAAGAGATCAAGTCGCTTGCACAGTCCAAGCAGGGAATTACAGTCTTTGCTCCAGGAAATAGCTTCTTGCTACTAACATTCACAGGAACCAGGGAGCATGCATAGAGGAGGACCTTGAGGTTTGGGATCTGAGAAAGTAGACTATAAAACCGGATAGGTGAGAATTTATTGACTCAAGACTCAACATTCTTGCAAGAATATATGGAGTTGCTCCCAGTTCACTGGCTTGAACCTGACAAAGGACAATAATGAGATGGAGATGCAAGAATTGCTTTAGCATACCATAAGGAAAATGATCAGGCAGTAAGGGAGTTGAGAATATTAAAATGGATTTATTAGGTGAGAACAGAATTTCTACTATCTGTGTTCCCAAGGAGGGCCCCAAGGACATTCCCCTTACTAAGACAATCTACACTATACAAAAGCTATTGGCATTTTTTTAGAAGCTCAGTGGCGACTACCTACTATAGGCCAGAGTAGACAGGGGAGGTGCTTCTGGAATGGTAGAGGCCAGGAAACTGTATTTAACCATCAGAGATGAAGTGACCATAATTACCAAAATGGACAGCAAGCCTAGAGTTGCCAGTAGGATGCTCTGGCTTACAAAGATCCGGAGCAATAGATAATACATCTTGAAATTCCTAAGGGTGAAATAGGCAAACAACAGACCAGGATGATGCTCAAATTGTATAATTAAAAAAAAAAAAAAAAAAAGAGGCTGGAAAGCGAAAATCTGATTTCATTTGCTGCTGTGGGAAATTATGGTCCCCGACCTCATTTCCAGATCTAAGATAGTTCACAGAACCAGCCCCTATTGACAGAAGAGATCCTCTACAAATCACAAATATATATATATAGACCACCATATATATATATATATGACAAATAGTCTGGTGATTTGTTCATAAACATGTGCCATTTTTTCTGGATAGAGGGTATTGAGAAAGGAGAATACCTAGAACATTCAAGGGATATTGGGTCAGAGGTCAGAGGTGACACACCTGGATAGCAGGTAGCCTCGATTTTCCCAAAAAGCAGGGCTTGAGACAGGGATTGCTTATATGTAGTTTACTGGCAGAAGAAATATCAAAAAATCAGAGTAGGGTCAATGGGAATAATGGAGCAGAAAAGGAGGGGAAAAAAACAATCCAATGGTATGTTAACAAGTTGGTCCCTAATGGGGGCAACTATGGCTTGATCTTGCTAGAGATCCTCTGAAGAATAATTTAGGATGAATCTCCAAACTGTCCACTGAAGAATGAAAGAGGAATATTTACCTGCCAGTTCTCCTCCCCCATTTGTCAAGGGTCACCTTACTGCTTTAGTCCCCCAACACTTCCTTGTTTGTTCTTTGCATCAGAATGGCTGGTGCCCTTTTATCTGCAAGTATCCCAAAAGGCAGGTCTGAGAATCCCCTGGGCAGAAAGCAAGAGATACTCAGTGCTGCTTTAGCAGTAGGGACTAAACCTTGTTTCATTAACTCTCTTTCAAAGCCTCAGAGATTGTGGCTGGCTACCTTTCTGAAGGAGACTCCATAAAAGAATGGATTTGCATTTCCTCTGTCTTGGGGATGAAATGAAGGCATTACTGGCCTCCATATTGCAGAATATGGGAGGCAGATATAAGGCAGGCAGTAGTGGATCTTATTTACAAGGGGGGGACCATATCAGACATCTCTGATATACTACTTCAAATCCCCTTGACCTTGTTTATCTCTTATTCCAGTAAGCACTGTTCTGGGTAATCTCAGACTGACTTATTGCCAGTGCAATCTGACAGAGCCTCATGTCAAATCTGCACCACACACCCCTCCTTCTCTGAAGTTTCCCTCTTGATCCTGAGGCATGAAATGTGCTGGGGCTAAGCACAGAATCCACATAGGCAAAACCCAGAAGTGAGGCAAAGTTAACACTTCTCAGGGTGAAACTTGAGCAAACTGCAGAGAGAGAGGTGGATAAATTCTTCTCCTTCTCTCTCCATATTGTGGGTAATATGGAAATGCATCACATATGATCCTCAATCAGTCCTGTGGGATCAAACAATTAATAACCCCTAGCTGTGACCCACCCAATAACACATCTTTTGGTTATCTCTCTCTGCTTTTCTTCCCAGTGTGAAAGAGCTGTTCCTACCAAATCACTCATATATAAGCCACCATATCTTAAGCTCTGAATGTTAGGGAATCCAGGTTAATCAAGGGGGTGACAAAATCATCATTATTTCAAGACAATGATTATCTATCCAGAAAACCAAAGAGACACAACAATGAAAAAACTCTAGTAACAGGACTCAGTACTTTGGCTCACAATAAAAATACACAAAAATGAACAGCTGTTCTATCTGTGCATAATAACTTTAAAAAATTGAAGAGGAAATTTACTAAACCAAATGAGGACACAATGACTACATTCTGATCCATAAAAGATATGAATTATTGAAAAGACATGCAATGTTCTAAGATGGAAAGACTTAAAAGATATAAATATGTCAATTCTCCACAAACTATTCTGTACATTTAATGAAATTCCAATGAAAATTCTCATTCTTTAGCCTAACAACTTAAAAAATAGCCAAAAGATAGCTGAGAGAATAAAATCATGAAAATAGCCAGAGATATTTTTAAGAAGAATAGTAAGAGATGCCTAACTCTAATTGATATGCAAGTTTGCTATAATGCTATGATTTTAAAATTGTGCATAACAACTTTAGATAGTCCAGGAAACTGGCTCCAGTTGAGACAGATGTAATATATGTTAAAAGTGGCATAACGTATCAGTGAGGATATGTTAGGATATTAGTGGATAGTTTGTAATAATAATAGCACAATTGGTTAGTCACTTGGGAAAAAAATTACATCTTCCCCTCCTTCATAGAGAAATAAGTTCCAGATGGAAGAACAAAATCTTAGTTTGGTGTGTGTTCCTCCATAAATTTTTGACATTTGCTTATTTATTTGTCTATTTTACATTAAGGATTCCTTGTCTATAATGTTCTGCAGTGTGCTTTCTTCATTTTTTATTAGTTACCTCTAGTGTTTGGAGAAGGGGATGGGTTTGAGAGTGAAGATAAAAGGAAAGTTGATATAAGTTAATTGGTTCATTTAAGAAACAGCGGAGGACTTGCCTCATGCCAGGCACTGTCCCTGGTGCTGAGGATACAGCCGCGAACATCCACCTTAACTCTGCCCTCATGGAGCATACCTTCTAGTGGTGACGAGCAAGGCCATAAACAAAATACATGAGTAAAATATAGGTCACATGGTAGAAAATGCTGCAGAGGAAAATAAAGCAGAAGAAGGGACAAAGAAGGAAGACTTTGCTGAGCATGTGACCTTTGAGAAAAGATGTGACAGAGGCAAGGGAAAGTGCCATGTGGATATGGGGAATATTCCCAGGCAGTGGAACAGTGAGCACAAGTCCTGAGGAGGGAGTGGGCCTGGCTTGTTCAGTGCCCTGGCTTGGGTGCTGTTCCTTGGAGAAAGTGTAGCAGAGAATAAGGTCAGCAAGATAAGGCATACCTTGCAGGGCCTTATAGGGCATTTGAGGACTGTGGTGTTTCCTCTAAATGACAGAGCAAGCTGTTGGAAGGTTTAAAGGGCATGACATGACCTAACTTAGTTTTCTTAACAAGATGACTCTGTGGTTACTAAGCCAAGAATAGCAGGAAGGGAAACCACAGAGGGGACTCCTACAAACCAGGATGGAGATGATGGTGTTTGGGACCAGCATGGTGGCAGGGCAGGTAGCATAAAGCAGTTGGCTTCTGGATATATTTTGAAGGAAGAGCAGAAAGATTTGTTGATTAGTTCAACAAGGACTATACAGACAAGAGCATCACTAAGGCTCTGAGGGCTTCATTATGAGCAGTGTGCAAGGTGGATTTGCCTTTACCTGAAATGGGGAGGCTGATAGGAGAGGTGGGTGGTAGCAGAGATGGCAGGGCCTAGTTTTGGGTGTGGTTACATTTGAGATGCTTGTTAGATGTCCAGATAGATATCAAATAATCAGATGGATGTATGACCCTGGAATCTGAGAAACAGGTCAGGAATGGACATAAGAATTTGGAAGTCATCGGGTCACATTTTAAGCCATGAGACTGAATGAGATAACCGAGGGAATGAGAGCATGTTTCAGTGATTCTGATCATAAATATTCAAATTTTTACAATAAAATTATATTATATATTTGTATAATTGTTCAAAACTGGTAAAGCACTGAAAGAAAATAAATGCAAAAATTTATACAACTGACTGTAGAGTAAAACATTGAGTTTGATACCAAAGACAGATCATGAAAGAAATCATTAACAGATATGAGTACAATGATCATTTTTTCAATGTTCTAGCTATCACACATGGTATATGTAAAAATAAGAAACCAACAGGTTATCAGCAAAATCAGTGCCAATATGTATGATGTACAAATTACTAATCCTAATATGTAAATATTTTCTTGCAAATCAGTAAGAATAAGATAAATACTCCAATGGGGAAAAATAAGTATAGATCTGAACACAAAATTCATAAAAGGGGAAAAAAAAAACAGAAGCCATCAGCAAGTATACAGGAAACATATAAACTAAAATAACATTTTCAACTAAATTGGCCAAAAAGAATTTTTATGCACTCCCACCTACTTTGGGCAGGGGAGCTAAGATGTGTGTGTTCTTTATACTTTTACTGTAAATTGATATTAAATTTCGTGAGACTAACGTGGCAGTCTCAAAGACCCTTACTACACACATTCTCTGACTAGAGTGTCTACCTCTTGCAATTTATCCGAAAGAAATGGTCTTGTTTATGGGTCATGATTCATATAAAAAGAAGTGAACTGTGATATTTTAAAATAGTAAAATGGCAAATCATAGAAACTTAGATGACTAATATTAGATATAACTAAGTAAATGTTATTACATCCATGTGATGTACTCTCATAGACATGAAAAACATGTTGTAGAATGATTACAAAAATATTCGCATGAGTACATTTTATTTGTCCAATAAACAGATAGCAAAATAAAGGGCAGAGTAACTTTCAACCTTAAAATATATATACGTATATTCTCAAGAGAACAATCCAAAAGAAGATATTTGAAAATACCACATTCAGTTTTGTCTGGGTAGTGGAATCACAAGTGATTTTATTTTTTCCTTTCTGCTTTATTGTATTTTCTCGATGTTTTACCAAAATAAATGTTTTCCTAACTTTGTGTGGTTGAAAAATGAAATCTATATAAGGAATAAAAGACGGTCCAACAGTCCTGGTTGCCATCCAATATTATATAATCCTGGAGTGCTTCAAAACCACCCAGTTCCGTGCTGACAGCTTGTCCAGATGTCTGGGATGAGAGTCACAGGACATCTTTGTCCTAGCGAATCCGATGGCTGGGCACACAAACCACCTGCTCTTTATTTTATTTATCTGTACTTTGACAAGGCAATTTTCCCTGTCATCGTCCTTATGCTTTTCTGTTATGAATTCAAGGCACTCTACTACGTACTTAACATGCTTTATGACATCCATGCAAATATCCTCCAAGTTGAGTGTTAATATTTCATTTGACTAATGAGGAAACCAAAGTACAAAGACTTTGAGTAAGTTGCTCAGTGTAATTGGCAAGTAGGGAGCAGAGCCAAATTTCGAAGGCTGATGTCTCTACCTCCAAAACGTCACACTATCTACTAAAATTTTTATTCTACAGAGTGAGTGGACTGAAAAACGATTTAAGCGATAAAAGGACATCAATTAAAACACAATGAGTCTTGTCATGAAACAGTTTGTCCCTTTTCAATTATATTCCTAACCTCGTTACATCAAGAAAACGTGCTCAGTTTTCTAAGAGCCTATCCACAAAACCTATTTAACATTTGCTGATTCTCCTTTGTCTAATACTAAGAGAGCAGATCTACTGCTTGGAGCCTAGTCAGAATTTAATAATATTGTTTTGTCTTACTGCATTTAGTTCTACTTCTTTTTAGAACAAGAATGCTGCTTTTTCCATTTAGAGTTGTAATACAAATTTTCTTTTTTAAATAAATTTAAATTATTCATAAGTAGATTTAAAGAAAATATTCAGTCATTACCCATACGAATACAGCTTGGAAAATAATTGAAACACTATGTGCTGCCTCTTGCCACAACTGTAGAAGTTTGAAAAAGGATATAGTTAACTTCTTTCCAACCCTTATCATGATGGCTTGGTATCTTCTGCATGATTCCACTTAATCCTCACCATTGTTCCGTGAGATTGGCATTAATACACCCAGCTTACCAATTTGGAAATGGAGGCATTGCGTGGTGATGTAGTTCAAGGACCCAGCTAATAAGTGGTGAACCTGAAATTTGA